CTGTCTTGTTAAATTTCTGTATACAAGGGTTTCATAGCAATACGTCAGAATAGAGGAAGGTACTTGGGGTCGGCGGATCCAATAATACGCAATGGTTAGGCAGGAATTGCAAGGGTATCTACTTGTAGCCCCAAACCCTGCAAAACAGTATGACCGTTTAACTAGAGGAAACATAGTATAACCCTTGAAACAGTAGGGTTTCGGATCCACAGGTAGAACAAAACAAGGTCATCAGAAGGCACGAGGTCTTGGTTTCGATGAGCCACTTGCACTCAGAGCTGCTGAAGACTGCTAAGGTGCTAGCGTGTCCGAGCATACTCCTACACAACAAATCGAGATATTATATATATATATATCATGTATTCTATACATACAAACAAATGCATGCCTGTGTCCGTCTTGTTTGTTTGTTTGTTTGCTTGTTTTGTGGGTGTGGTTATTCGTTTTGATTAGTTTTGCCTTGTTGCTTGTGTGTGTGAGTGTGTGTGTGTGTGTGTTTGCTTGTCTCTGTGTGTGTGTTTTTGGTTGTGGGTGTGTGTGTGTGTGTTTGTTGGGGTTGTTCATTCATATGTTGCCTTGCCTGTCTCACCACGGAGCACAATCCAAACCTCGGCCGAATAGTTTCGCATTTCAAGCACTACGAGCATGGTATATATTCAGGTAAGCATGGCCTCAACCCTGGCCCTAACACATCCTCAAAAACTAAGCCTATAGCCTGAACACTTAATCCGAAACCCCCACCCCAAAGTTGCTTTGCGAGCGCAGGTTGTTCAGCTCCTACAGCCTCTTGGCTGCACTTTATTTCGTTAAGACTGGTGAGTGCTGCATTCGGGGCGTCCTAGGCGTAGATGCACAGTTCGAGGGAACACGCTTTTTGTTCATGTAGGTTCTTGGTGGCAATGAACCCAGCAGAATTGCAACCCTACTCCCTACATCCCCGAATATCCTCGAGCCCTGTTCCGCAACGCTGACACTGGGGTAGCAATTGTAGGCCATAAACCCTAAGCCCTATACCCTAAACTCCAAACCCTACACCCTAAGCCCTAAACCCTAAGCCCTAAACCCTCAACCCTAAGCCCTAAACCCTATACCCCAAGATCTCAGAACTTGGAGGCTTCAAGAAGTCTGCTGATAATATCCAGGGTCGGACGAATGAGTAGTAGCATACCCTGAGAGTCCCTCTATGTTTAGACTTCGTTACATATTATATATATATATATAGACATACACATCATGTTATATTACATTACATATTACATACATATTATATATATATATATTATGTTATATATGTACCATAATCCTTTTAACCATTTGTTGGCCCCTATATTGTTTATAAAGGTTTCGATGGGGCTTTAGGTCAGAAACAGTTGGGCAGGCATTAAGACCGAACAGAGGCTTCGCTGCACATGCTCAGCAGAAGTCGAAGATGCCACAAACCGTCAAGGATGCAACTGATGTGTGCGAGGCCACTGCCTTTCGTTTGAGGGTTGAGGACGGTCTCAGGTTTCGCTTTTGACCTCACGCGTGGATTTGCAAGTCGCACGGAGTTCTGCACTACTGCAGTGCTTCTCCTCACAAGCTAGTATTCGAGGGTTTGACTATTGTAACAAGGTTCACAAAGGAGATACTTGCTAGCAGTAATGGTTCACAACGTGTGCTGCTGCGCCCTTTTGCATCCAAGACTTCAAGTCCGAAGCCGACGCCCCAAAACTTAAACCCTAAACCCTATAAACCCTGAAGCCTAAACCCTAAACCCCAAACCCTAAACCCTAAGCCCTAAACCCTAAACCCTAAACCCTAAAGCCTAAGCCCCAAACCCTGAACCCCCAGGCAAGCCCGCGCCTCGGTGAACAACGCCGATGCTCAGGCCTGGCATTCACAGCTCCAGCGCTTTAGGCTTATTTAGGGTTTAGGGTTTAGGGTTTAGGGTTTAGGGTTTAGGGTTTAGGGTTTAGTATAGTAAACCCCAAAAAGTTAGAAACCGGGTCAAGGTCAAATAGTGCTGGGATTCCCTATACATTACTCCTAAGGATTGAGGCTATTGGGTTTCCCACTTTTGGGCTTCTACTGTCGGGGTTTACGGTTTCGGGTTTAGGGCTTAGGGCTTAGGGCCTAGGGCTTAAGGCTTAGAGGTTGTTTAGGGTTGAGGGTTTAGGGCCTGTAGGGCTCTGGGCCTCGGGGTTGAGGGCTTAGGGGTTCCGGGTTTAGGGTTGAGGGTTAGTTTTGTAGCCTGAATCAGTAGGAACGCCATCCCTGAGGGTACTTTGTTAGATTAACGAGTATAGTAGACCCCGAAACCCTATGATCATCAAGGGCTCGGATTCACAAAAGTTTTTGGTTTCTGTAGGGTTTGGAGGCTCAGGGCTATCATATGCAGATATCTGTAACATGTTGCCTGATATTGAGGTGGCTGGTTGATTGGCTGGCTGGCATATTCTCGACCATACATGGCTCTTCTGCACGGGGCGTGTGCGTGGGGATGTTATGGGCGGAACACAGCTGGCGATCATAATCGGCATCCCGAACCCTTCGCATCCGAAACCCAAAGCCCAAACTTGGTCGCGTGGCAATTTAGTGATCTGCCACGGGTGACAGTCCATGATTCTTCGCGGTCCTGATGTTTGCAGTCTCCACCCGTGTTCCTGTGGTTGTTGAATATGCAGTTTGAAGCCCTGCAAATCAGACGTGCCTGTTTATGCCGTATGGGAAGCGGAGGCCTAATTTTTGCAGGTGACCCATCGTTAACTTTGAACGTGCGGCCGCAGATTTAGAACAGTGGTGCATGGATCGATCTTACTCTTTCTCTCTCCGTCCCTTTGCAGACGACATACATACAACACGATACATATATGTACATACTTATACATCGGCATACAGACCGTATCTATCTATCTGCCTGTCCATGTCTGTCTCTCTGCCTTTCTCTCTCTACCTCCTCTTTCTCTCTCTCTCAGCCCAGAGCCTGTCCAGGGCCGCGGTCCACTGCAAATTGCAGCCTCCGGCCAGCATGACGCGCTGCCCGGCTCAAGAAGAGCCGTAGGGTTTTGGGGCATCTGGTTTCCAGCATGAGGGCTTTGCAGTACCTCTGGGTTCACTTGCTACAAAAATATGAAAGGTACAGCTAGCTAGAAGGATACAAAGCTCTGATTTTTCTGTCAGTCTTCTTCGGAACGGTCGATTCTTCGGAATTTTTGAGTGAGTGGTTGTGGTCGTCGTTCGAGTCGTTGGCAGCGATGCCGAGGCGATGACGTGGGGTTATCGTAATGATCATCGGAGCGGTACCATTGAGCAGTAATATATGGGCCTTAATAGTTAGCATAGGGTTTTGGAGTATATTGTATTTTATACTATAAGTATTATGATAAGGAACAACCATATCCTATTCTAATCATCAGGGCCCCTACATTAGCCGTCATCTAGTGCTCGGGAGATTCAGGGCCTGATTTTTGCTTCCTTGCCAGCCCATGGCCTGAGACCACCCTGTATTCCAAACGCAGTGTCCTACCAAAGCCCACAGCCCTGAAATTGCCAACGGGAGGCTCATAGTATAATATACCCCCAAAACCCTATTCTAATTATGTAAGGCCCCTACAGGCGTCTCTGAAAGCTTCAGGCTTCATGTTGGAGCAGCTTCCATGCACACACACACACACAGGCTGTAGCTCTTGCCCGGAAGGCTCGTCAAAAGTCTCGTCGACGGCGCGGCAAATGCATCCCGACGGCATCAATCACGGGAGAAGTCTCCAAGTTCTACAAAGTTCCAGGGGTTTAGGGTTTAGGCTTTAGGGGTTTAGGGTTTAGGGGTTTAGGGTTTTAGGGCTTTAGGCTTTAGGGGTTTAGGATTTAGGGTTTAGGGCTTAGTTCACCTCTTACCCTACACCTCAAACCCTAAGCTTCCCTAAACCCCAGTTATACTCTAAACCCTATTGCCGCCGTATGCAGCCAGGGATGGATGAATGCATGGCCAGCTCTTCTGCGCATCGTTTTCGTGCCTCAGGAGTGGATTTTTCCCAAAGGGTCCCAGTACTAGTATAGTATATATTTTGGGGGCCCAAATACCTACTAAGTGCCTACTATAATGGTAGCTTGGACCCTTTGGGTTTGTTGCATGGGCAGGTTGTACCTACGAACGGGGACTCCCGGAGCCACATGCTGCTAACGGATAACGGCTACCTGTAGCCGAAGAAGACCTACTTTTTTTGGTTCCTTGTGATGGTTTCTATATATATAGTTCCTAAAAAGATAGGTCTCTCCGGCTACAGGTAAATATGGTTTTCGTTACCGAAGCGGTAGAGGGCAGCACGAACGAGATTCTCAGTCATCGAACAGCAGTTGTTAGCCAAGAATCGCCCAGACAAGGCCGTAAGGTTGACGACACAAACCATAAAGCCTCTCACATGACGAAAGGTGAACCATCAAGATCTCGGCGGGCGTTCCGCCTTCCTTTGGGCATGTCTCAGGCCCGGAATGAACACTCTTGCGTGCAGGCTTTGTGCATGAACTCTTTCAGATTTATGGTCTACGGATTTCCGAAACTAGCCCTTTCTTTGAGGCGACGAAGACCGAGGTGTTTTTCAGGTCCCATATTGAACAAGCTTATTGGGAGATGGGTCTTGCTACTTTATCTCCCTTCTTTGCGTGTCGCTGGTAATATCGCTGTTCACCGATGGTCTGGGCTTCACAGCCTCTCGAATTTACGCGCCAGGTCACGTGGTGTCTGGCTCCGACAGAATCCCTAGTCCCTAAACCCTAATCATAATTTTCCTCCAAACCCTAATCATAACCCCTAAACTTAAACCGTATAGACCCTAAACCCTAAACCCCAGAATCATGCCTGCAAAACGAATAGAAGGATGCCGACCTATAGGCCCCATAGTAGTTTCTTTTTGGGATTTCCTTATAGGATTCTAAATGTGATCCCCAAAAAGGAACTACTTTAGGGCCTATGAGTAAACTGGTGTACAGCATCTTGGGACACTCACAGCTCCAGCGGAAAGATGGCCGAGTCGTCGGGTCCTGCCGGTGCCTTGCTTGCAGTGGCGAGTTGAGCGGCTTTTGGGATGTTTAGGGTTTAGGGTTTAGGGTTTTAGGGTTTAGGGATGAAGGTTTAGGGATTAGGGTTTAGGGTTTTGGGGTTCTTTTGCTTTTGGGGAGTCAGGAATAGGAGGGCATTCGGATACTAAATGTGTATAAGGCTTGTTCTGCAGGAGGTTGCGCAATTTTGAGCTTATGTGTCGAAAGTGATTTTACACTGTCGCCCAGCCTTCAGCTTCCATCCTTTCGCCGCCGGAATGGGATTCGATAATTTGAGTTGTGCTTCTCAGTTTGCCAGGTTGCTGGCGCTGAAGCCAGCAAAGAACCACATTGTTATGAATACATGTCCACAGCCACAAAAGGCGCAACCACACGAAAACTAGTGTGACAACCCGAGACCAAGACAACAGCACGGTAAGCCGTAAAGTCATCTAGGCCCCTTACTGCCTTCTGACCCAAAGCACGCCACCGTTGACTCAGAGACTGCCTGCTGTAAGGTTCGATTAGCTCTGTGGCTATCTGTCGATCTCTGTCTCTCCCCCTCTCTGTCTCTCCCCCTCTCTCCCAATACATTACTACATGTCTCAATCTGTATGCACTTGCATATATACGTACGTACATGCATGCGCGCCTTCTTAAATGTACAAGCTGTGCAAGCATATACACAGCTCATACTGTTTGTTTGAATTACATATGTCGAAGATGCCAGCCACAACAACAACAACAATTGCCTTGATGTCTTCGCTGCAGGCCGGCGCACGCTGAACAACCTCATCTCGAGTTCTGTGAAAGCTCGACATTGGAAGCAGGCGTTTCAGCTCTTTGCGGGTATGTGCCTGGAAGCCGTGCTGCCCAATGTGGTGACGTTCGGAACAGTTCTCAGCGCCACACAGAAGGTTCAGCAGTGGCAAATGGCTCTACACCTCACTACCGAACTCTCAAAGGCCACACAGCGTCTCAACCTGATAGCATACAGTTCTGCTGTCAGCGCTTGCGAAAGAGCAGGAGTATGGCAGTCGGCTCTGGGAATGCTTTCACAGCTGCTTGCGAGCACCGTTCTGGCAGACATTGTTGTGCAGAATGCCGCGATCAGCACATGCGGGAAGGGCGAGCAATGGCAACATGCACTGCTTCTTTTTCACGGACTGCCTCCGACTTCAGCAAGGCTTGGTGTCAACGAGGTTAGCTTCAACTCCACCATGAGCGCGTGTGAGAAGGGCGGCGAGTGGCAGATTGCCATTGAGCTTCTTTCGAAGATGCTGCGGAGGCAGCTGCTTCAGAGCGTTATCAGCTTCAGTGCTGTAATCAGTGCCTGTCAGAAGGGAGCTCAGTGGGTTCTCGCTCTGCAGCTGCTGTCAGACATGGCAAGTGTGGAGGTAAGGCCAGAGAGAATCAGTTTCAACGCGGCCATGAGTGCCTGTGGTGGTGCTGCTCAGTGGACTCTGGCTCTGCAGCTGTTGACAGACATGCGATCCGTCGGAATCCTACCTGGCGTAGTAAGCTACTGTGCAGTCGTCAGCGCCTGCGAAAAGAGTAGCCTTTGGCTGCAGGCCATTGACCTTCTTGGGGACATGCTTGCACCTGGGAATCCAAAAACCTACCGTTTTAGGGGTTCTACCCTCTAATGAAGGGGTCATAACCTACTATTTTGTAGGGTTTGGGGTCACAGGCAGTGATGCTGCAAGCGGACGTGGTCGGCTTCAATGCTTCCATCGCAGCTTGCGGCCGATCAGGACAGTGGCAGCGGGCGCTGCAACTGCCTCCAGCTGCTAACAGTCAATGCTTTTCCCAAAGTGTCCAAGTTTCATTATAGTAGGTACTTGGTAGGTATTTGGGCCCCAAAAGTATATGCTATACTAGTACTTGGACCCTTTGGGTTTTCTTGCAGGAATTCCACAATTAGTTGGTCTAGCCGCAGTCTTTCTGCTACGAAGAGCCAGACAATCCCGATGTTGAGGTTCTTGGACATGCATTTCTTCGAATTAGCACCGAGTGCTATCAGCTTTGGAGCAGTGATCAAGGCCCTTGAAAATGCGGGCCAGTGGCAGTTGGCGCTTCAGCTCCTTTCGCAGATGCTTTCAAGGATGAGTCCTGATCCTACAACCTACTCCGCTCTTCTGGGCACCGTGGAAGCGAGCTCACAGTGGCAGAAAGCCCTGCAGCTCTTTGCAGAGATGCCCAGTCTGAATCTTCAGCTGGATGTGTTGGCACTGAACCTTGCCCTCCGTGCATCTGTGACCGGATGGCAGTGGCAGGAAGCCTTCAATCTCGTAGCAGACATGGCAAGAAGACAAGTTACCCCTAACCCGACCACCTTTAGCCTGGCCATGGCCGCAGCAGAGCATGGATGTCAGTGGTCTGCAGGCCTTTCGTTTCTAAACCGCCTCGCCCACGAGAGAGAGTGGCAGGAATTTCTTTGCATGCCAAGAGGGGGGGGAAAAGCATGCCATACCGGTCCCTAGAAACCCTCCAAACCATTGTGGAGAAATCGAACAGGTCGGCCGTGTGGGACTCATGACTGTGTTCCGCGAGTTTTTGTTATCCGTATTCCTGGAAGTTAGGGTCCCTTGCTTGGGTAAGCAAAAAAACAAGGACCCGTTCTCCAACCTCCGAAATGAGCAAGATGTGGCTTGATTTCTGCCTCGCCTGCGCCCTCATCAGAAGCCCATGACCCAAAATCCTGAAGCCCTGGATGCTGTGGTCAGGGGGCACATCGGAATCGCTGGGTGCTTGAAAAAGGCCTCAGCAGACATCAACTGCAACTTGGTGCTCAAGAGATTGTGGACTTCGATTCAAGCTCTTCCTTTTGGTAACATGCGCCTCTTTGGCCCCTGCCCATGTTTATTATAAATTGGATGCCGGATCTTACAAACCAGCCCCACGCCCGCAATCATCCTTGTGCCGCTATAAAGCCACAACGCCTGAACCCTCGAACCTCCATTCTCCCCATGTAGCCCCAAAACCCTTAAGTCAAACTTACGTAGGTTAGTGTAGGGTTTATGGGGTTGAGGGGTTTAGGGTACGGCTTCCAGGCACCGACGTCCAGCTGCGCGGCGGGCTGCACTTAGCGGCTCCGGAAGGACACGCCAAGGCAGCCCCGGAGCCGTTGGTTTTGCGGGGTTTAGGCTGTAGGGTTCAGCGTTCAGGGTTTAGGGGCTTAGACTAATTAGTAACTAATCAGCAATTTGTAGTCCCTGTAATTGCAAGTACACTAATTACAGGTGTTTAGGGCTTTAGGTTTAGGGAAAGACAACAGATAAGCCAGACGCTCTGACATTGGAACTTCAACGACAGAGGCCCTATAAACCCTAAACCCTACCCATAGGCCCCATAGTAGTTCCTTTTTGGGGATTGCCTTATAGGAATCTAAATATGAACCCCAAAAAGGAACTACTATGGGGCTTATGGGTAAACCCATCAAGGACTCCAGTGAGTTCATTGCCAGCCACATGTATTGCTGGGCTTCGCCAGTCCTTCGTCGATCCGTTTGCAATCGAAGTCGCACAGAAGCTCAGACAGTATTCGAGCTATTCAGCCCTAAACCCCAAACTTTAAACCCCAGGCCCTAAGCCCTAAACCGTTTAGGGTTTCGGCCTACAGGGTGCGAACAGCTGTGGGCCTCGATTCCTGAGCAGCCTGGGGCACAGGAGCTATGAAGCGGCGAGCCGTAAGGGCCCACACCGGGAATCTGCTTCTACCCTCAACTAGGGAAGTCTAGTATAGTGGGTCTAGGCAAGGATGCGTTGCCTTGGACGGGTTTCACCCACAAATCAGGCAATTTGGGGTTTGTTGGAATGCGCGACTTCCCCTAAACCCCAAGCCCAAATGCAGGAACTCTCGATCCCTAAACCCTAGTCTCAAACTAGACTTTACTCCAGATGGTGGAGTTCCTCCTTGAATGTCGCTGCGCCATTGCCGCCGACAGGAGCCCTGTGTCTAGCTTCTTAGGTTTGAAGGCCTTCTCCCTTTGGGTCGAAGCTTTCGTGGATTAGGGTTTAGGGTTTATATAACACTTAGGTTTTAGAGTCCATTTCGGGTTGAAGAGATTGGGTTTTGGTGGTTTTGGTTCAAGGTGTTGGCTGTTGTGGATCCCAGTTAGCACCAGATATGAAAGAGATGGCTGGGCGCCTTCCTTACATGCCGGCATACAACCCCACATGCACCCTAAACCCCATATAAGCCCGAAATCTTAAGCCCTGAGCCCTAAACCCTAAACCCCATAAGCCCGAAATCTTAAGCCCTGAGCCCTAAACGGCCCTCAGCCCTAAACCCAAAATTGACCCTAAACCAGCATCCTGCATAGTGCCGGTGCTCCACAGCTGTGTTCCGCAATCTGGTAAACGGGGATGTTCCTGATCAGCAATCTTACATATTCTTCGGGGGGGGGTCTTTGTCATACTACCATCATGTACTTGAAAGGATTTTCCATGTCGGCCAGGGAACCCATCAGCTACTCTAGGCAGTATAACTTCTACAGCAGGACATGGAAGCATAACCTTGCCAAGCATTATAGTAGATACTTAGTAGGTATGCGGGCCCCAAGAGTATATACTATACCATTGCGTGGACCCTGTGGGAAGCCGTACCAGGAATGGGGACACCCCTCTCCATGGAGCTGCGGCACGCGGCCGCGCTGACGTCGTCACTGGGCTCTTGCGGGCTCAGGCGGAACTCGACAAAGGCCAGGGTCTGGAGTTTGTATTATTAGGCTTATAATTATGACTGTTATAAGTAGTCTTATCACCTTTGCCATTATTCTACTATTCTGATTCTTATTATTGTCATTAGTACTACTATTACGTATGAGGATGATTATTAATTATTATATTCCTGTTCAATTATTCTTACTTTTACCATTGTTGTTACTAGCAGTATTATTAGTATTTCTATCTTAGAACTACTCTTATGATTATTATCATCACCCTAAACCCTAAACCCCTAAACCCCTAAACCCTAAGCCCTAAACCCTATAAACCCTAAACCCTTGGGAGGTGAGTCGTGCACCGCACGCTGGCGCAGACGTTCTAGTTGAAAGCATAGAACTATCTGTAGCCGAAAAAACTTATTAAGGTTTCTATAGACACCTTCTTCAACATGTCGGCTTTTTGGGCCACAGGTAGGGTTAATATAGGGGCCTCAATATAGTTACTAGTACTATTGTGAGTAGTTGAAAGCATAAAACTACGATTCTTATCCTTTGGGATGCTCCGAAGAGGAAAGGAGATTGCAATTGTCATCATAGTCGTGGCAACATGCGTAGCAACGGGAACACTGCTGTTACCTTTTACGGAGGCAGCAGTCCTTATCATGTCTGCCTGTGACCCCTATGGTTCAACATTCATAATATTCCTCGAGTAGGGAGTTTGCGGTTTAGGGTTTAGGCATTGCGCAACTATACCTGGGCGCCAAGCTTAGGACACCCGAAGTTCCCGTCCTGCAACATTGAAAGGTCCGCGGTTTCTGAAGGAATCCGGCGACCGAATGAGTTCAGGGCCGGAAGTGGTGTAGGCGTGTATAGTTGTTCGTGGATTCGACAGGAACTTAGCTGCATGCCAAGTAGGTATCTAGTAGATAGTTGTAGATGTAGCTGTGGATCTAGGGATAGGCAAGTGTCAGTACATGTATGTGTTGCATGTACTGCTTAGACCTGTGTTTGTGTATGTACATATAAGCGATAGAGTTTGTTTAATCATATAGATAGGGTGCATGATGATTATCGGTAAGTGTCTAGTTGGGGTCTCGTTATGCGATGTTAGTAGTGGCACCCAACCCCATGTGCGTGTATGCACACGAGACGAGCGTGAACACTGCACTGGACAGTGGCTTCAGACGTTAATATCTGCTCAGGTTCCTTGCAACCCCTACACCCACCTGAACCCCAAACCCTCAACCCCAAACCCCCAAACCCTAAACCCCAAACCCTCAACCCCAAACCCCCAAACCCTAAACCCCAAACCCTAAACCCCAAACCCTCAACCCCAAACCCCCAAGCCCGAAACCCCAAACCCTAAACCCTAAACCTTAGAGCCCTCCAATGGAAGCCCTCATTTCGGTGCCCAGGGGGCCTCTACGGCAAGACTCCTTTGCAGCTCGCGGCCCTCAACTCGCGGCTCCACGCAGGGCTCGAGGCCCTCGGCTTTGACGGCCGTGGCAGCAGTAGCTTACGGCGGTGTAGGGAGTTTAGGGTTTAGGGGGTTTAGGGAGTTTCGGGTTTAGGGAGTTTAGGGAGTTTAGGGATTAGGGTTTAGGGAGTTTCGGGTTTAGGGGTTAGGGAGTTTAGGGTTTAGGGTTTAGGGCAATGTACGGCTTAGGTCCTTCCTTTGGATTTAGGGGAGTTGGCTTTAGGGTAGTCGGAAACAAGAGTGGCAATGCCGAAAGACTAACTCTGGTTTACAACCGCAGAAAGGTCGCCTACGACCAAGAATCAATCATGGTCTTGTCGTCATCCTCGTCGCCATCATCATCATCATCATCATCAACAGCTTCAAAACCCTAAACCCTAGACCGTCATCGTCACGAGCACGAGCACCAGCTCCAGCGGCTTTAACTCCACTCTCCTCGCAATTTTCAAGGGCTCCGGTGATAAGGTTTAGGGTTGAGCGTATCGAAGCAGTAAGCAGCATGTATACTATGGCTTTGGGAACTTCGAGTTAGGAAGGCACAGTGTTCTTCAAGCAGGTTGTCTGGAACATAAACTGGTTCAACACAGTCTAAATGAACTTTCGGGAGCTCCAGTTCTACGCGAAGCAGCTAGTCAGCTTATTTGGGTTGCAATCTCGGGGAATGTGTTGCATGAAATGAAATTGCACATTTTAGCGGCACGGGACGAACACCCCTTTGCATTAAGACGGCCCTTACCCTGAACTACCAGCACCTCCTGTTTTGTACGTCCCTATAAATATGAGGGTTTACTATAAGAACCTACAACAAAAGGTAGATTCCGGTAGTTTGAGGTACCGAAGACACTGAAGCATCAGAAATTGGTTTCTAGAGTCGAAGTATCCCTAGACCCTCCATGTACCCTGCATTCGACCTTAGATGTCCGTTGTTTCCCTGGGGCTCCAAATGGCCCAATGTAGGTAGTATTTACAGACTTTAGACCCCAAAGTAGGTTCTATTTGTACACTTGGAGCCCTTTTGGGACCATCTACCCTATAACGACCCTATAACCCTAAACCCCATTTGAGGACACAAGGAGGGTCCTCGTCAGGTTGGGGCTGTTTGCAGATTGAAGTTCAGGCAACCATCGACGCGGAACTCTCGTCTCGAGGATTTAGGCTTTAACACTTACAGGGTTCGTGGTTTAGGCTCTAGGGTTTAGGGTGTACAGGGTTTCGGGTTTAGAACTAATCAATTAGGATCAAGGGCTTGGGGTTTAGGCTTGAGGATTTAGGATATAGGATGAAGGGTTTGGGGTTTAGGATTTAGGGTGTAGCACATAAGGTTTTGGGTTTTGGGTCTA